CGGAGTGTGCACAATTTGTTGAATGACGTCAACAATCTTCAGCTATGACGTCGTTTCTAGTGTGACGTCATTCCGACCTCACGTCACAATCAGATTCGAATGACGTCAGAAATGCCGTCCGGATGACGGAAACAAAAGAGTGATGGTTGCTGAAGACCTATTCTACCCCGGATCGTCACGGGTCAGTAGGCGGATGGGATGAAATAGCATTGATTGAATAACAGAACTAGCAGAAGCAGAAGTCTGACCACCCCATCCCGTTGGTCGTCACTGACAAAAAGCATGGGTTGCTGAAGGCCAATTCGAGTCAGGATCTTCACGTGCAAAAAAATTGAACTGAATTGAATATATCCCGCACCGTACTTCCTATCTTGATAATAAGCTGGCGAGTACTACAATTAGATCAATAACTCTCACACGGTAGGATCAGTCGATGTCATTTCACTCAATATCTTCACAAACACCAGTTGCCATGGAGATAATCATCCTGTTTTCAATACAGAGCAGTTCGCCTACACACAGTTTGTTGAACATTTTCCTTCTGGGATAACAAGACCGCCTCTGTGGTCTAGTGGTAGAGCTTCCGCCCGGAGAGCGGAATTCCAAGGTACGGGGTTCGACCCCGGGCGCGTCATACCAAAAGACGTTAAAAGATTGTACTTGTTGTTACCCTGTCTGGCGCTCGGCATTAAGGGGCTAAAACAAGGACTTGGAGTCAGTATACTGTGTCTGAGTGGGGTATTCATGTTAAACTGCGGCATGGTATCTCAGTGAGCTAGCACTATAAATCGGCATCAGTCCGGACTAGTACAAGCAACCACACACACACACGTACATGCACGTCGCTATATAAGTGCAATAATCTTGGACGCGACGTTAGACCCCATTTCTCCTCAACTCAGCTCACTACCCAAAAATGGGTATAAAAACGTGTGCATTAACGGGATTCCATATGCATTGTTTAGTAGCCTAGTGGTTAAATTTTATAATCGACACAGAAATACTTTACAAACTAACATATCATCAGTTATCATAGTTAGAACAAGCCTCGTCTACCATACAGAGAGGCGGTCGGGTAGCCTAGTGGTTAAAGCGTTCGCTCGTCACGCCGAAGACCCGGGTTCGATTCCCGACATGGGTACAATGTGTGAAGCCCATTTCTGGTGTCCCCCGCCGTGATATTGCTGGAATATTGCTAAAAGCGGCGTAAAACCATACTCACTCACTCACTCACTCGGCCGAGACAACACTTATCTTGTTATCAGCGTCACGAACTGATGCTGCTTCCCTTCTCAGAATCGCTCGTCTCATCTTTAGAATGGCTGGCAGGTCAGTTTGAGTACTTATCCCTGATCCGGTTTCCGTTGTATTGGCAATTTCAATCATCGCAATCGTAGTTCTGTATGGTAGACTGACTGACTGAGTATGGTTTTACGCCGCTTTTAGCAATATTCCAGTTATATCACTCTGCACAGCGAATCGCGGCGCCTAAGACGACTGTGCCCCCTCATTAAAAGAAAGATCTACACGGTGACACATTTATAAATGACGAGTGATGATTTATTTCAGAACGAATTTATTTAGACCAAGTACGCATGCATCAATCCGCCCGCGTTTGGATTGCATAACCAATTATCTATTTTCCGGTTCATTAATGCCAAAGAATACCAACATCACAGGACCAGTTAGATAGGTTGTCGAATGTTATTTCGTATTTACACCTATTGCGTATCACCGCATCACCGTCCCTGAGCACAAACCCAAAGGAGCTGTCCCTCTTGGCACTTGTTAATTAGAGCGAGTGAGTGTGGTTTTACGCCGCTTTTAGCAATATTCAAGCAATATCACATCAGAAATGGGCTTCACACATTGTACCCATGTCGGGAATCGAACAAGGGTCTTCGGCGTGACGAGCGAACGCTTTAACCACTAGGCTATCCTGTATGGTAGACGAGGCTTGTTCTAACTATGATAACTGATGATATGTTAGTTTGTAAAGTATTTCTGTGTCGATTATAAAATTTACGTAATTTTCTCTTATATGATCTACTTGCATCTAGTAAACGTTGCTCATTTATAACGTTTTGTTCCTTTGGAAAATAGTTTGGGATTGAAGATACTTCCCTCGACGAACTTCACACTTCACACCTCGATTAAAATATACTTGCCGAACCATATTTTGTGGCGTCGCTGGGGGTAAGGGTTTACATGTTTAAACCAAAGGACACACGTGCAGCACTAACAAAAACCTTATTAACATTTTCAACAATGTCTGATAAACATTTCTTGTTAACATTAAAATCACACATACTCAGTTTATCAAGTATTGTATTCACATCGCCAGTATTGACGGCGTCTTGAAATTGACATGCTTTTCTGCCGCCCCAGCGACGGCAGTCGCATGGGAAGTCCGTGCGCCTGGCAACAGCAGGAGTTGATTGACAGGTGATTGATTGACAGGTGGTATTGTCTTGACGAGTGTTCGTGTTGAGATGTACAGCGCTGTGAGCATCTGACAGATTGGGATCGAAGTCTCGAACATTGAAATTACTAACCTTTTTAAGTATACATGCAGGTGCTATAGTTACAAGTATTTCTTTCCAGGTCTCCCTCTTCTCCAAATCTTCCATTGATATGAACAAGTTATTGTTTTTAAATACCAGTAATTCTAAAAAAATATATCTATGATTATTAGCTCTTCCATTATCTACTGAGTGTTTTGGCAAGTCCATACCTAATGATGAAATGACTTCTCTAACATTTACTTCTCCTATTATGTCTTCTGGGATATAAAAGTGGACAGGTGGTGTTCTTTCTATTCAAATAAAGTCACACATATTTCTTGACATCAATATCACAATCAGAATCATATTTACATATCTCTTCTTCAATGTCATTGAAACATACATTGTTATAGTAGCGTCATCCCTCAGGAGGGATGAAAACAGCACCAAAAACTAAATCACACTCAGATATCAGTATCTCAGATGAGTGAGTGAGTTGGATTTAACGCCGCTTTTAACAGTGTTCCAGTTATATCACGGCGTGTTAGCTTAATGTGGGAGGAAAGCCCGAAGTGATGCAGGTCTCAGACGTTTACCACTTCGGTGAAACCCACGAGCATGGGTATGGTGCTGACAAACCTAGAAACATAATCGGGGCGAACCGGGATTCGAACCCACAATTATAGGTTTCTGGCGTGCCCAAGGGATGCAACTCTGCACAGCGAATCGCGGCGCCTTAGACGACTGGGCTACCCGTTCCCCAATAACTAAGATGATATCTTGACTAGAAGTAAACAGTCACTGTTAGATCGGATGAGACATACTTGTTGATCGTGTTCTCCACTAAGATTGCTAATGTCCCCGTCACACTTATTCGGAATCAGCAGGAATGAAGATTTTTCGAAATCGTGCCAAATTCGGGAGGGAATTTCAAATTGACCATGCTTTGTAAGAACGCCGTTCGAATGCTGAGAATACGCTTCGAACCCGTCCCGAATGATTCTTGCACATTCCGTGTGTATTAGCTCTCGAATGCCATACGAGTGCATCGTCCCGAGGCAAGGGAGTTAACTGTCTATAAAAGTCCAGTTTCCACCCTTGCCGAACTAGGCTGGTATTATGGAGTTCTATTTTGGCTGGACTAACGAGTCTATGCATAGTCCAATCAAAATCGCGCAACGAAATCGAAATCCGGTTCGTAAACTGTCGTGCAGATTCCGGTCGATTGCAGGATTTGCAAAGCATGTGCACCACCAACTCGTTGTCAGCAGATATTTTCCAAATCTTTTCATGTTTTTAATCATGTTCACGTAATTTGATGCATTTCGCGATGTAAGACCCGTTTTATCACAATATAGATATTGATTATCGATCAGATCGTCCTGACTCGGCGCCACCATTTTGTGTGAAACAAACGCAAGTGATGCGAGAGGTGGAATCTGATTGGTCCTTAGGAGAGGCTCAGAAGGGACATAACTCGTAATAGCCACTGGTGGCGCTACGATCGAGCCCAGTAATTCCAGCCTTGTTCGACAAGGGTGGAAACTGGACTTTTAAAGTGAGTTAACTCTCTTGCCTCGGGAAGATGTACGAGTGCGGTTCGATTGCTGCCGGAATACCGCCCGAAGTCTGGTTTGAAGGTGCTTCGAATGCTGTATGAATTCACCTCGAATGCAGTCACAACGCTCCCGGAGTGGCTGCCGAATACGGTTCAAACGTCCATGAATTCAAACAGAATGCAGCTCGAACACTTCGAATGTATTTCGAATGTACTTAGAATGTAATACGAATGTCCCGAACTGAAGTCAACCAAAGATCTTTATCCATCTGTCGACACTGTAGATCTAACATTGTTTAATGTAGGGGATATCACTGTTGGAATAACACTGCGACAGGACACGCAACAGATGTTTCCCGATCGGTCGAATATATAGCTAAAGAATAAGAATGACCCAGTCGTCCGATCAGAAATATACTTTCAAGCATATTCAAAGGATCAGTACCAAGAGATTAACAATCTCAAAACAGAGAATTCCAATATTTAACAGGGATGGTCGGGTAGCCTTGTGGTTAAAGCGCTCGCTCGTCACGCCATGTTCGATTCGATTGAAACAGGGACTGGTCGGCTCGGAGTCAGTGTACTGTGTCTGAGTGTGGTATGATACTGGTATCCATGTTAAACTGCGGCATGGTATCTCAGTGAGCTGGCACTATAAATCGGCATCAGTCCGGACTAGTACAAACAGCCACGCACACACGTGCATGCACGTTGCAATATTAGTGCAATGATCTTGAACGCGACGTTAAACCCCATTTCACCTCACCTCATGCAAGTATGTTCAAATTTACTCGAGTTAATTCAGTAAGTAAGTATGTGTGCTCTCCATGTAACGTTTGACTTTATCACAACTCCGTGTCAGAATGATGAGATCTGATTGGTTCGCGTGATCTTGATAAAAAACAAAACATTATCATACCTCCATGTCACCCTCCTACCCAGAATTCTTTGCGGTCGGCAGCCAGCATGGTACCTCTGCCACAGGCCAGCGCCATGTACCGATTCGTCACATCTTACAAAGTCCATTAAAAAATACTGCTTATGCTTTGCATCCGTTTCATTTTTAACGAGTCTTCACATTTTGATAAACAAATATCATTAAATTGTTACCTTTCATTAAGAAAGCATCCTGAAAGGTGAAAATCTCTGTTTGCATTGTCATCGAAGCCCAACGGAGAGCTTGCGATACAGCCACTTTGATGTGTTAAGATATAATGCCATGCATCTCAAGGTCAAATTTGTAGCAGCATATCTATGCAATTATGCAAAACAGTTTTTAAAGCGCATCGAAAGGTTTGCATTTGGCCAAGATGATTTTAAAATATGCGCGTTTGTTTACAAACAAGGGGAATATCTGATCACGTGATATGCAAATTAGCCTGTGGCAGTGGTGTCACCACTGCACCGGAGTGTACCTCCATGTAAGAATGATGAGATCTGATTATATATTTATAAAAAATTATATATATAATAATAATAAAAAGCCAAATATGGTATTTGTGGTTTTGAAATATGTGTTGTCAAGCGAAACCGTTAAGATAATGAACAAAGACGCTCGATTTTCAATGGTAACAAGTTCATTCATGCATTTTTATCACACTCGTGAATTATACCCTGAGACTGAAATATTTTCAACCTTATCTTAATCAATCATATCAACTCCCTTGGAAAATGTCCCCGGGCGCTCCTAACACGTGAACTCTTTTTGGAACTCGATATTTCTAACCCGATGATTGACAGGGCCTGTGAGTCTCGCGAAGCGCTACCAGATTTCCGAACTATGAACTAAAAAAAAGTACTAATGGAAATGAAAAAAAATGCTGGATTTAGTAATCGACACAAAGCATTACGTAGATGTAATTACGAAATAACAAAACAACTGGAAAAGTACTAGTCTAGATTTGCTAGTTTTATCTCAGTGCTCAATACAAAATGTACTTTACAGGAGGTAATTTGTAGGCACTTTCAACATTCAAAAATAAAACTAAGTCCAAATTGACATGGCAGAAACAGGCTATAGGCATTATGCAAATTAGCCTGGAAATAAGTTATCAAAACAACAATAAAAATAACATCTATGTTTATGTACATAATAATAATAACATGTAAGTTGTTGTTTGAGAAGGGAATATGTTACTTTTACGTTCTGATATTTTGACGATGATTCACTATCCCCCAATGCCACTCACAAATCACTAACCACTGACAAATCACATGCCCGTGGGTTTCAAGCACCTGTTTTCACCTGTCGTCAAGGTGTCATAGGTCATGGACATTCACCTTGATCTACTAAAACCTGGTTATGCTCAGTTTCACAATAGTCTGTTTTGTTCATATTTTTACACACTTTTACGTGTAAAAAGACATAAAAACCTTTGATACGCTGTATTTGTGCCAAGGCCCAATTAGTACTAATTGAGTTGTTTGAATATTTATATTTTTTGTATATTAACTGCATTTATTTAAAACCCGAGATCGAAAAAAACAGGTTTTTTTTCATTTCCGTGAGTACTTTAGTTTTACCTTCGTAATGCGCAACCGCCCAAACATACTCTGCCACGTCCTGCTCGGTTGGCCCAGCTGTAGACATTCGTCACAGTTGGCATATTTCGGAATGACAAAATCGTTTATCAATCCCTGACTGACAACTAACAACCACTGGACCGTTCGTAAAGGTGTGTGTGTTTTTCTTTACGTTTAAAATAATTTAGTGCGGTACTGTCGTTCAGACATTTTTTTTATATATATTCGCTGTGGACAGTGTCTTGTGATTACGGTAGGTGCGTTACTTGTCATATAAAAATATGTCGTAAAGAGAAATTCGTTGTCGCAGGATCACGAGGGGTGCATGCGGGTTTATTAGTCCCTCGTCCGGCACGTGGTATAAAACCTAACGCGGGACACATACAACCCCACGCACCCCTCGTGATCCTGCTGCAGCGTATCATGTATTACTACCTCTCTCACACACTTGTCCGCACATGTATGAAAGTGAAACATTGAATTCTCAACACTATGTTCCTATGCTGATAAGCCTTACAAGCTTCCTTGTCAATACGTAACTGAATTAGCATGCTGTACAGATATTGATATGAGTATGAAGTGTTTCTGTACGCACAAGGGTCACGGGTGGCCCACTCGTCCTAGGTGCCGCGGACCGCCTCCGTGGTCTTGTGGTAGAGCGTCCGCCCGGAGAGCGGAAGGTCCGGGGTTCGATTCCCGGCCGCGTCATACCAAAAGACGTTAAAAGATGGTACTTGTTGTTACCTTGTCTGGCGCTCGGCATTAAGGGGCTAAAACAAGGACTGGTCGGCTCGGAGTCAGTATAGTGTGTCTGAGTGGGGTATTCATGTTAAACTGCGGCATGGTATCTCAGTGAGCTAGCACTATAAATCGGCATCAGTCCGAACTAGTACAAGCAGCCACACAAACACACACACGTACTATATATGTCGCAATATAAGTGCAATAATCTTGGACGCGACGTTAAACCCAATTTCACCTCACCTCACCTAGGTGCCGCGATTCGCTGTGCAGAGTTGCGTCCCTTGGGCACGCCAGAAACCTATGATTGTGGGTTCGAATCCCGGTTCGCCCCAATTATGTTTCTAGGGTTGTCAGCATCATACCCGTGCTCGTGGGTTTCATCGAAGTGGTAAACGTCTGAGACCTGCATCACTTCGGGCTTTCCTCCCACATTAAGCTGACACGCCGTGATATAACTGGAATACTATTAAAAGCGGCGTTAAACCCAACTCACTCACTTATCTGAGAAACTGATATCTGAGTGTGATTTAGTTCATGGTGCTGTATACATCCCTCCTGAGGGATCACGCTACTATAACAATGTCTGTTTCAATGACATTGAAGAAGAGATATGTAAATATCTTTGTGATTGTGATATTGTTGTCAAGAAATATGTGTGACTTTACTTGAATAGAAAGAACACTACCTGTCCACGCATATATCCCAGACGACCTGCATCACTTCGGGCTCTCCTCCCACATTAAGCTGACACGTCGCGATATAACTGGAATAATGTTAAACGGCGTTAAACACAACTCACTCACTCACTCACTCACTCTCTCACTCACTCACTCACTCACTCTCACACTCACACACTCACTCACTCACTCACTCACTCACTCACTCACTCACTCCCGAACCGAACCGAACCATCTTCCCGAGGCTCCTGGGCTCGATCGTAGCGCCACCAGTGGCTATTACGAGTTATGTCCTTTCTATGCCTCTCCTACTGACCAATCAGATTCAACCTCTCGTATCCGTTGCATTTGCCTCAAACAAAAAGGTGGCGCCAAGTCAAGAAAATCTGATTGATAATCAAGATCTATATTGTGATAAAACGAGTCTTACATCGCGAAGTGCATCAAATCACGTGAGCACCTTGATTAAAAGCATGAAAAGATTTAGAAAATATCTGTTGACAACGAGTTAGCGGTGCACATGTTTTGCCAATCCTGCAGTCGACCGAAATCTGCATGACACTTTACGAACCGGATTTCGATTTCGGTGCGCGATTTTGACTGGACTATGCATAGACTCGTTAGTCCAGCCAAAATGTAACTCCATAATACCAGCCTAGATCGGCAAGGGTGGAAACTGTACTTTTATAGTAAGTTAACTCACTTGCCTCAGGAAAATGAACCGAACCGAACCATGTTGACATGGGATCAATATATCAATATATCAATATTGAGATAGACGGGTTATGTAGTGTGATTACTGTGAGAGTGGGCAGATTGAGGTGAAATTCACTTTGTGTTACTGCTATCACAGCGTTGTCTTCGCAAGAGTCCGGGGGTGGGGTTGGGGTGGGTGGGTGGGTGGGGGGGGGGGGGGGGGGGGGGGGGGGGGGGGGGTGTAGGATGGGGGGGAGTTCACCCCAAAATATGACACTCTCAAGGGGAGGTGATAAAAATAAGGGACAGTTATGTTTAATTAAGCTTTTCGGAAGCTTATCGGACATGTCTGACAGGTGACCTGTCGGCATTCCTTGATGACAAATGACGGAAGCCGTGACCAGAAAGGTCAGGTCAACGTTTGGCCCTTAACCCTCATGGTGCCTGGACGTCAGTCAGCCTGCAAACCGCTCAGTGCCGCACTGTGATGACGTCGCGGTTACAAAAACGTATACATTGTTTAAAAAGTGTAACAACGTTCTTATTTCTTCACACAACTTTACGAAATTATACGACATAATAGATCTTTAAATTGCCTTTCGGTGAGTCTAAAAGTTGTTGCAAAATGAGTTTATTGTCATTCTGGTGCCATCGTTGAAAGTGTGAGTAGTCCTAATTTCGTGTTTTTCTTACTTTTTGTGAATATTGAAACATCCCCATGACCACATGAACACCGGTACTGTGTCTTTGTCATAAATATATGTTATTTGAAATGAATAACATTTGACAGGAAATGCCTTCATGGTTCTAACCATATGACATTTATTTAGATGTGTTCCGAAACAGAGATATGCGCATGAATGATTGGACTTGCAAATAATCGAGAGAAAAAATATCAGTTTTCACGACGTCAAAGCAAATTACGGGAAGTTGACATGAACTGTTTTCCAATGTAAAATGCTTCATTGATTTGGTTTACCCAAATGATATTTTGTAGCACCACACCTGAAAGAAATCTGTGTAAGGCTATGCAAATTTTAATGTAAATAATCGTCTGTGAAAATTACAAGTCGTTACAATATTTACCGATGTAAAAAAGTTTTTGTCATGTTTACCTCATACAATCTTCAGCGCACGCTGGTCACGAATACGGATTTAAATAAATGATATTTTCTTATTTTAAACAGACACTTCCAACCTAACGTCTCTCAATAACGTGTTATCCGAAGTTTGTTAAAACATAATAGACGGGACAGCGAGTAACACCACACAGACTGCACGTACTATTTCTCGAACTCAAATGGCCGCCACTTTTATGTCAATTTTGACAAACTCGGTATTTGCGACATGTAGGC